TTTTTACTCTGCACATGAATTTAAAACAGTTTCTCTCTCCCTTCCCAGGCGACTCCCACCCCCACCAATCCCCAAGCTCTGAGAAATCAAACATTTTGTATTAATGAGCCCTTGAGATCTAGAAGAGTTTATCATGTTATTTCCAAATTTCTTCCCTATTGTATTAAAAAGACAGCAATAGAGATGGGAAATATTACGGAAACAGTGTAGAGAGACAGAACAAATCTGAAGCAATTTTTCTTTTCTTTTTTTTTTTTTTTTTGAGACGGAGTTTCGCACTCATTACCCAGGCTGGAGTGCAATGGCACGATCTCGGCTCACTGCAATCTCCACCTCCTGGGTTCAGGCAATTCTCCTGCCTCAGCCTCCCAAGTAGCTGGGACTACAGGCACGTGCCACCATGCCCAGCTAAGTTTTTGTATTTTTAGTAGAGATGAAGTTTCACCATTTTGACCAGGATGGTCTCGATCTCTTGACCTCGTGATCCACTTGCCTCGGCCTCCCAAAGTGCTGGGATTACAGGCGCGAGCCAACGCGCCCGGCCGCAATTTTTCTTTTAAAATGTATTTTCAAAACTAAGGTGTCAGTCTTTGGTGCTTTGCTACTTACAGAACTGCTAAAAATAGGCATGCAAAATTAGGGTTTTGCCATTGAGATAAGAGATACAACCAAGTCATTTATTTATTGAGCCATAAAGCTATCATTTGCTACTTTCTGCCTGAAGCATCAAATGAAAGAGTTTGAGGACTTGCTGCTGTATTTTTCCTCTCTGAGACAGAGCACATAATAGACACGCAATAAATATTTATGAAATAAGTGAGTAAAATGAATGATTAGAATGAGCCCTTATTATGTCTTGGGCTCTGTGAAAGACATTAGAGAGTGTCACATGACACCATCCCTGCCTACATAATGCTTTAAGACTGGCTAGGGAATGAGAGATACAATACTGTAAACAAACCACAATGGGTGTACAGAGATTAAGAACAATTAGTTCTACTTATGGATAGTAAGGGAAACTGCAAAGAGGAGTTGGTTAGAATGGAAAGAATTTTGATGGATGGAAGTATGAAGTACATTCATTTCATGTGCATGAGCAAAGTCACAGTGGGAGCAAGAAGCATATATAAAAGTATAATTTTTGATCTTCCAGTCTGTTCAATAAACTTTGCATTCCTTACTTTATTAAGCTTCAGAGCTTCAGCTTCCATTTCCCCACCTCCAAAAGAAAATAATAATTCTTTATACTTCAGAAAAAGATACCAAGAAATGCACAGTAATTTACTGGGAAGACCTAGATTTGAATCACCAGATTTCATAGCTGGTGATTCCAGCCAGTAGATTACATTCAGTGATTGTAAATAACCTTGTTTTGGGCTGACATATAAAAGGGAAGGACAAGAGAGATAAGGGAGGACAAGAGGGATAAGACAGAAAACACTGCAGGGTTAAACTGGTGGTGGAAAGAGAGGGTCATCACTATTTTTTCCACTTCGAATTTAAGCAAAAAAACATTTTTTGTCTTTAAAACACAGTCAAATGATTTAGGTGAAATAGTTAAATAAACGATGTAGAGAATGGTAAAAAATAGATTATTAACAGTCAATTTCACAAAGGTTCTTTATTGTCCTTTTGGATGTGTTTTAAGTCTGACTCTAAGTGTATATTTTAGAATACTGTGTTTATAAAAATAATTTGGCTGAATTGTTTTAGATAACGTTCTTCTTTTAAAATATTATTCAACTAAAATATGTTCTAAAGTTTTCTGACCTATAAGAAGCCTTGCTTTTCAGAACATAATTCAAAATCAATTCAGTTACAAAAATAAAATATGTAAAATATATATCTCCATTGATTAAGAAAGATTATGAACTAATGGAAGAAAATACATAGCAAAGAGTCATGTATTTTTATGGGTGAAAGAGGATATGAAGTAAGAAAACACTCCAGATGAGTGTGCATGTTCATCAACTTTGCATGGTATGAATTTGATGGATAGCAGATCATTACACAAAGAACTTTCGGTGGTAGCATGAAGCCACTGCAATGAATGATTTTCCTCTTTTCATTTATGACTAAAAGCATTTGATTTTCAGAGGTAGGCTACTATTAATGCCATAATTAAAAACCATTGGTATTTTCTCATCTGTTTTGTGGGGAAAAAATGTTGGTCCATATCTTGAGTTGTCTGCATGAATTAAAAGTTGAAAGTAAACATTACAAATGCCTCCTTTTGCTATTTCCAGCAGGTATATATATGATAAAGTATCAGGAACTAAACAAAATTATAGAATAATGGTCAAAGACCATAGAGTTTGATAGTAACTTCTAGTTAATTTGCCAGTAGATGTGATGGTTTATTTTATATGTCAACTTGGCTAGGCTATGATGCCCAATTGCTTGGTCAAATACTAGTGTGGATGTTGCCGTGAAGGTGTTTGTGGATACGATTAACATTTATAATCATTTGACTTTGAGTAAATCTCATTACCTCTTATAATGTGGGTGGGCCTCATTCAATCGGTTGAAGGCCTTAAGAACAAAGACTAAAGCTTTCTCGAGAAGTAGCAATTCTGCCTCAAAACTGCAACATAGATATCCTTCCTAAGTTCCTTGCCTGTTGGCCTGCTCTACAGATTTTGGACTCAATACTGCAAGAACAATTCTTATCTGATGTTCTAGCCTTCTGGTTTGCCTTACAGATTTTGGACTTGCCAGTTCTCACAATCATATGAGACAATTTCTTTAAAATAAATCTCTCTATATATGTATACTACTGGTTTTGTTTCTCTGGAGAACCTTGATCAATCTGGTGACAAAATTAAAGCCCAGAGAAATTACATAGTTTTCCTAATGTGATTTAGTAAATGTTAGCAGGGTTGGTGATAAGAAAGATGGAGAAACTGGGTCACAAAATTGCCCAAAATATTGATTATAAGACTGGGAAAGAAATTTATAACTATCAACTTTCAGGCCTGTCTTTCTTCATAGGTTGCATATAGAAAATGATAATAATGTGTGTTAAACCAAGACATTTAAAATCCTGAAGGGCAAATCAGATAAAACAGTGAAGGTATTGTTTGTTTGTTTTGCCAAAAGATAGAATGATTCTTTACAGAGGGAACTTTCCTCACCATTTAAGGTGGTTTCATTTTTTAAATAATGCTTTGTAAACTTTTAGGGCCACATAAGCTCAATACTCAATATAGTTGAACAGGGCATGTTTCAAAAATGTATCTTATTAAAAATACACCCCAGGTTCAATAATTATTTCATGCTCTTGAAAAAAATACTTTGTAAGTGTAGAAAAGACAAAGAGTGGTAAACACACATATCCTGTTATCTTAATAAACATATATGCACTCCCTTCTGGAAGCTTCACCACAAATCTCTGAGTTCTTATTACCATTGTATAATGGAGAAAACTGGGGCTGGCAGAGACTAGAAGACCTGCCCAACTACTCAGAGACCGAGCAGCTGACTGCTAGATTTGAACTTTCCTCATTACCCTGCAATCATGCCCAGAGATTACCAGCATTAGGTGGTGTTTGTAGGTTTCTTGCCGAAGGGTGGTGTTTGTAGATGTCTTGACCAAGAGTCCTGTAATAAGCTAAATTGTCATCCTAATTAAAAGGATACATGGATTCTGTTGTACTAGCATGTATATTAAGATTTATGTGGAGAAAATTTTTCAGTACATCTCTTCCTCATCACTAAGGACAACAGTACCAGGTCCTCTTGAAGGTATAAATTTCCTTTATAAGTGGAATGGAAAATTTGATCACCAAAATAAGGTATCATCTCTCCTCTCTGTATCTTTCCCATAGTTCTCCCCATTTGTGGGTGAATATAATTTGGACTTAGCATCTTCATAGAAAATAAGCTAGGCTCTAGGTTTTTTTCTTCTTTTTTTTTTTAAATGCTATTTGGGATTAAATGGATTTACTAACCTTGAGTAATTATTCTCATGTTTCATGGCTCACTCCTTTGTTGATTGTTGTTTCCCCAGTCTAATAGCATTTCCTATAGAAAAATAAAAATGTACACAATCCTGGCATGAAAGAACAGAGGTCTCTTTATTGCATTTCCATTTCCTAGGTTGCAAAGGCCCAGCACACTTTCAGTTCATCTCTTATAATTCCTACTCAGGCCACCGCTGATCTCATTATATTTGTAAAACTTCATCTCTCTCCTTTTACTCATCTGAGAGCAGGTGGACCCAGACAGTTCTTTGGAGGCTCAGTGAATGATTTCTCTTGGGAGAGGCACATCTTTCCAGTCTGCAAAGGAATGAAAATCCAGACAGTCACATAGATCACTTTGAATGGTGCCAAACACATTCCACCAAATGCTTCTGGCAATAATTAGAGCATGTCACTGGGAGATGTGGTGATTTTCTTCCAGCATGAGGCTCCAGTCTTACCCTGAGTGCCATGAAACTGACAGGTCAGATACAGTGTTCTCCATAGAAATAACATAGACTTCTCATGATCTGAGAAAAGAAGGGGAAGTAGCATTTCTTGACTTTGAAACGTCTGGAGCAAGGTACCCAGGATTAAGTAGGAACCACCTAGAATTTACCATACCCTTCACTGACCCAAACTTATCAGCTATTGCACAAAATAGGCAAAAGAGTAAGTAAAGATCATCATTTTTTAATAAACAGGGTTGTGGTCTCTGGCTGAGGAAAGGCATAACCTGTTGTAGATTACAAAAAGGAAAGCTCTTTGATAGGCATGGAAAGCCCTGAAAGCCAGCATGAGAAGTCTGTTCCTTGGGAGGCAATAACATCCCAAAGTCTACTAGGATTTTAGGTTCAACTGCACGACTGTCTTTGCATACAAACAGGACGAGAAAGTCACACAAAAGAACCGAGCAAGTCATGGGCAAAGCAGTTGGAAAAAAAAAAAAATGAAAAGGAAAGAAACATAAGAAACCAGGGAAAGCTGCAGAATGGCAAGGAAAGGCAGAGAGACGCCTAGGAAGGATAAGACTGGAGGAGGGAGTTGGGGAGGGAGGGGAGAGGGGAGAGAGCTGATCACGGACGTCAGGAACAAAAGCTCCAGCGGAGCCTGGCGAAGGCACTGAGGGAGCATGGGGTGTTTTGAATAATTATTAAAATTAGCATGTGTCTGCGCCATCCTGTGGGTGTGGCGCAGAGAGGAGTGTAAACTCTAGCGGGGCTGGAGCAAACATTGGATTAGCGGCAGCAGCCTGCCAACCTGCCCGAGGAGTGCGGGGACCAGCGCGCTGCAAGCCGACTAGCACGATGGCCTCGTCTCAGGGGAAAAACGAGCTGAAATTAGCCGACTGGATGGCAACTCTGCCGGAGAGCATCCACAGCATCCCCCTCACCAATTTAGCCATTCCAGGTAGGCGCACAGGGGCTGCGGGCTAGGCGCTCTGCGCCCGCTCCACCTGCCCCGCCCTGCTTTATCTGCCGCTAAGTGGTAACTTGCCACGTTGCCCACGGGAGGAAAACTCGTCTTCCAGGGTGGGTCTCAGGCCAGGCGAGCGCGTGCCTGGTAGCCTTGGGCTTCCTGGCGTTTTCCAAACCTCTAAGAACCGAGGAGCTAGAGTCAAGGTGACTGCTTTTCTCCTGGGCTCTGGAAGCAGGTTGTGTGCGAAGGACTGGGGCAGAGGAAAATCTGGGCTCCAGGATGGTGCCTCGTGACCCCCTCCGGTGGTTTTCCCTGTAGATTTGGGAGAGTGGGAGCGATTTCTGGGTCTGTGGGGTGACTGTGAGCGGTGAACGCGAGCTAGTGTCAGGGGCTCGGCTCCAGTGCACGGACCTGAGTCCATCGCTGGCACGGAATTGAGCGGATTGATAGATTCTCAGCTACAGTCATTAATATTCTTCCCCAATCTCCTTTAAAAAGACGAAGCGCTTCCAGAAGAGTGATGAAAGTTCAGGGACTAGAGGCGGCGTGATAGCTGCCCTTGAAAAGGAGCCCAAGGGGGCGACGGGCAGAGGGCACCGTTTCCTATCGGCGTGGCCCCGGGGGGCTGGCCAAGTGGACCGGTCTGGTCCAAGTGCGTGTTAGCAACACACTTCGCCAGGTGAGAAAAGCAAACCCTTGAGGATTTTGCGTTTGCTGCTCCGGACAGAAGCTGGGCAGGGGACCCTGCTTGTTCTGGAGGGGAGGGGTGGGATTAATAGGCAAATAGTAGGGGAAAGGTGACTGAGAATGTGTCCAGACAGCCTAGAAGGAAGGAAGCGTGGACAAAGCGAGGAAGAGACTCGAGGGATCAAGAAGCTTCAGCTTGACGTGTGCGACTTGGACCAGAGACTGGGCAGGTTTCTAGGGTGGGAGCTCCTAGCAACCCCTAGCTCAGGTATCCAGGAGGGAGGGTCGTTTCAGGACAGTTAACAACAATGACAGCTGGGGACACGGTCATACTTCATTACCAATTTGACTATGCAGTTGGGCTGGGGGAGCACACACCTGATCTTTTCAGAGCTGGGCTGGAGGGCAAATTACTCATGAACAATTCACTTCTGGCTCTGAGCTGAGTTGGGTTATTAAATTCAACCTTCTGGTTTACCTCCTCTTGATCTGCCCCATCCAGCGCCCCCTCTCAGCTACTGGGGGAAAACATGATAAAGAACAAAACACAACAAAAACAAAAACAAAAGCAAAAGAAGGGTTCTTTTGAAAATCACTAGATGCTCCCACCAACAGTGCTGCCATTGATCAGTTGTTGCTCAAATGAATGGTTGTTAGTCAAGTAGATGATTGGCAGCAATGGCAGGCACAGGCTGCACTACAAGTGCTATCCACAGAAGGGGTTGTCTCCTTTTGTCCTTCTTCAACAGATAGCTTCCTACTAGCCAGGGATCTCCAAGAAAAAGAACCAACCCCAGCTTCTCCATGCTGCACTTACTCCGCTACCTAGGTGAGCCTGGAGATTGCTCTTTTCAAGGAGACAGTAGAAAGCACAACTTAGGCATAACTCCACTCTCACCTCCACAGTCATCCCCATTCCTTTTCTTCCTTCGTTCTTATTTGGATTTTAGACAGTTGCTTTCACAGTCTCCCCTGAATGTTTTGTATGCATAGAAGGTAAGAAGGGTGATCACTGTGATGCAAACCTTCTGGCAGGTGACTCTCTAGAGATGCAGAGTTAAAAGCCTAAGTTTTCTTGTCTAGTTCTGAGAGATGGTATCATACCTTTTTGAGCCTACCTTACATTTCTGCAATATTTCACTTTTCAAAGCTCTGTTATGTACACAAGCTCACATAATCCTCCCAAAACCTCATGAAGCAGGCAGTGTGGACCCTATTGCCTCCATGTCACAGATGAAAAAACTGAAGCTAAATGAGGACTTACTATCTATCCCTATCAGTTTGGGGATCTGACCCCTTAATTGGACCTCTGGGAAGATACCCTAAAAATTTTGGAGGGAAATGCTTTGCAATTTGCATCTGGATGATTCAGCAGCAACTATGACTAACGAGGGTTAAGAAACAAGGAACTAAGCATTCGTGGGAACAGAGTAATTTTCCTTTCCTCCCCTAGGACAAAATGAAACCTGAGATGACAGACTTTGGTATTTGGGCAATCTTAGAATACAGGCATAAAGATTATGGCATTGGGCTTCCATGGGAATTTATATTGTTTCCCAACTCCTTTTGGCATTATACTCAAATGAATCCCCTACAAAGCTTCCCCTTCGCACTCCAATACTTGTGAGAAAAAATAGACACAATGTATTTCATCAAATCTATACTCCTGAATACCCCCATGTTTCTGTAAATTGGTTTGGAAGATCCACACATATAAAACCAGGTTTAAAAACAGGTTTGGTACCTTTTTGCATTACTCAGCACTGAGAATTTTTGGAGGAAAAAAAGATATTCAAACTTTGATAGTCGGAGAAGACTAATTGGAGACTATTAAACACTAATGGAATAATTGCCTTAAAGTCATGCTAATAGCTTTCTGGCTGCTACATGTTTACTTGGCCAGTTGCTACAGCTCAAATTAAGTAATTATCTACACCATTTAAAACCACTCCTGGTGCACCACACAAGTGTTTCTGCTGAGGGGAACTGCTGCTCAGTCATCCTCAAAGCTTCAGGTTTTCTTAGGTAAAGCGGGTGGAGAATGAACAGCTGCCTAATTATAAGGCAGCTACTTGGGGCAGCTGACCCAGATTACCCAGAGTTACAGAAAAAAACAATCTGCAAGCGTGTGAATTTTCCACCAGAGCGTAGTTCTGGTGGTCTTTAAATATTTCTCAAATATCTACATTTTGAATGCTTTCAGAGTAAGTAATCTCTCAATAGCCGTTTTGCATTTAAATGGCTTCATGACATGATATTTACTGGGCTGAGGAATTGTTAGTAATTGGTATTAGTATTTCACTTTCAATTTATTTTTTAAAGAAATGACAAAGCCAGAACACACTGACAGTTACATTTCAGCCTTGTCATTTCTCTCTCTCTCTGATGGCACTAAACTAAGTTTTAATTCATGCATGTTTGTTTAATAATGGCAATTTGGATTGGGAATGATACTGCTTTTCACTATGGGAATGATACTGCCTTTCACTATAAGCAGGTGCGAAAGAATAAACAGAGATGGAAGCAGGAAGACAAAGTATAAAATTTAGGTAAAAGTGAGACTGATGAAAATTCAGTTTCTCTGAAGCAGAGTTCTAACTCTGTAATCATGGTGGCTCCAGAATTGTTGTAAAGAGATTTATCATGGGAACAAGTAAGGTGTTGATAATCTGTGTCTGTGACAGAGAGTAATCCTGTCCAAAATCTAAAAGCTTGGGAATGGTTTAGCCCATGGGAGGGGACTGCTTTGCATTCTCTAATATGTGATAAAAATCTTTTTCGTAGATTTTTATCATGGCAAACTGACTATGTAATAATAACATATCGGCCAAAATGTTGTAGGACTGGAAACTCAGAAAGAGCCTATGTTTTCTCCAACAGGGAACTGTTGATTGTACTTTACATAAGGAACACAGAAATGATGATTTTGCCTGTGAATTTTGTTCATTTCCTTTAGAAAATGCAAATACCAATGAAAAACACAGGTTCACTAAGGGAAGCTAAGTGTTTAAACAGCTCCGAGTCTCTGTTCTTGTGTCTGATGTTACTAGCTTTTCATTTCTTCCCCCAGCAGTGACCCCTTTCTGTTGCTGCCTGTTTTCCTGGAGCCAACCATATTCCTCTTCTTTGTAATTTGCTATTTCTATTTTACTTGGATTAAGTCAATCTCTAGGATGTATCTGGGACTGGGTCTAATTGTACAAACTTCTAAAGAACAAAACCAGAGCAGTTTCCCCCTCCCCCTTCAATTTTTGGTGGATAGTGATAAGAAGTGAATCTTTCAAGACAATAAAAAAGCAACAACATTGTTTAGGATGAATATGCCTTGTTCTGCCTCTCTAATTCCCAGGTTTTTTTTTTTTCCAAAAAAAGAAAAATTGAACAATATCTAAAACATAACTTGTTCTACTAGGACTTTTCCTGATGAATTGAATCCTCTACTATTGTTAATAAATGTAAAGTGTTATGTATGTTATTTTGCCATTCACAAAGCATCTTCCTATGCACACATGTACTTTTTCCACATTCTAACAATAATATTCTAAGGCCTTGTGACTCAAAGTTGATCCAGGGACCAACAGCATCAGCATACATGTGGGTTTGGTAGAAATGCTGCATCTCAGACTCCACACTTCAGATTTATTTAATTACAAGCTACATTTTAACAAAATCCCTAGATGATTTATATACATATTTAAAGTTTGAGAAACACTGCTTTAGTGTAGCTCTAAAGGGCTTTTATGTAAATGTCAGAGCCCAATTTAAATATACCTTTTTTACTAGGCCCTTTTTATTGGGCCATGCAATCTATACATGTTTCCAAATTTATAATCATGCTTAAAGCCAGAACATCATATTTTACTCACAGCTAATAGCCCATGTTAGGGACATTGCTGATAACTGACATTAGAGGTCATTATGTACCTTGAGCAATAAATATGATTTAATTGCTACTTAAATGTTCAAATTTGGTCACTGTGACAAATGTAAAACCTTTCCCCTCATTTCCTTAAAGTCTTGCTGCTTCTTATTGGCCATCAATAGCATTTAAAATCAGTCCATCTGGTAATACTAGTGATACCTAATGTCAGTTTAGGAAACATCTCTATATTGGCTCTTTGTCCATTTGGAGTCATTCCTTGTTGGACACAGGACCAGCTACTTCTAAGTTACAAGTTGATTCATTTTATCCGTAAGCTAGACCTTTGCAATATTGTTCTTGAGTAAAAGTGTCAACATGAAATAATTCAAAACATAGCATCAGAAAGCTATCAAAAGCATCAACATCAAAGGTAAATGGTAAA